CAGGAGCAGCTTTATCCAGCTGCAAATAAACACATGTGCATGTCAGAGTAATTCAAAATTTACCACTGGTTGAACCAATGCTCGAAGCAACATCAACAAAGAATGATAAATGGGCTAAAAAGCATTCCCAACTCTAAAGTAAGCTATCATGATTCAGATGCAAATTAGGTCTTATTCATAATACTTATATATATTTTTCAGTTGAAGTTAATCATTTTAACTTCAAATCTAACATGTCTTGTGACATCACTTCAAATTTCCGGCATAAATAGAGAAAAAGAATCCGATTTTATTTGATTTCAGAAAGGCATGTTTATCTCGTCAATGCATGTTACACTATGACACCGGGTACGAAACTAAAGCAGTATAGTTCAATAGAAAGCGGAAAGAGAATGAAAACCTCTGGAGCAAGACGCTTGCAGTGGCCACACCAAGGGGCGTAGAAATCAACAAAGACATGATCGAATGTCGATATGGCTGCGTCGAAGTTGGATTCGTCCAACTCTAATACTGTCCCGTCGATGGAGAATTGAGGACTCTCAGCAGCTAAGATCGCCGGGGATAGGAGATGATAAAAGATGAAGATCGCACTCATCGCAGATGGAAGCATGTTCAGTGCAAATGTTGTTCGCATAGTTGATCATAAGCTTTTGTCAAGCAGAGCATAGTCTGGTGGCTGCAAGACCATAAAACACGACAACTTTCCTTTTGTTATTAGTCCCACAATTTTTTGTGTTTGTTTGGGTTAAACTAGGTTACTGTAGATGTAATTTTTAATCAAACTTTTTTTTGGGAAGAATTTCTAATCAAACTTATTTATTTAAACCTAGAGCTCTGGCTTCTCTTTAAAAACCTAACGGTCGTCTCCCCTCTTTTTAGGGGTTGAAATTTTCCGTCACCCCTATCAATATATCAATATGGGGCTGGAGCGGCACATTATTCTGATTTTAAGTGCTCTAACGCTTGAAATTGTAACTATATCGGAGGAGATAATGTTGGCAGATGAACGGATTGTGGCTGGAATCTTGTATCGGTGCTGGATCGTGAAGCATTGGTCAGGCGCTCCGACGGTGGTTGAGTTTGTATTCATCCATACTGCACTAGCTCGTCCTCCTCCAGAACTATCAATACCAAGAAGAGTTTTGTGGAAACATTTTAATTCAATATTATTTTCTCTTTAGTAGTACTAGTTTTAGTTTTAGTCCGAGTATATTTGATTTGAATGTTCGGATTTTCGGAGTTCTTATGATAGACAAAGTTTCAGATCCGTTCGTTTTAGGCTTAAATTTGCCCGTTTCAGGTTTAGCGAGTCAGGTTGCTTTATATGAAGTGACTGATTCTAAGTCTACTCCTAGGGTTCACGATTGGATCTGTAAAATCTGTCTGAAGATTGTCTTGTATGCGTTCTCGATTTTAATATAAAGCCGTCTGTTTTACGATATAAAAAAATCAAACTTATTTATTTATATTTCTAGGATAGTAATCTAGGTTGTCAATAAACGTGTGTTCACTTCATATATCTCCTCAAAACATGTGAAACTCTAAAATTGAAAACTTTTAAATTGGGAGTTTTGGAGGTATGTTTGTGTATATAAAAAATCTCATTCATTTCAATAATAAGTCTCCTCACATTTCAATCATCTCTCCTTATTCACATATTCTTTCTATCTCATATCCTCTTTATTTACATGTTCATCTCCCGCCACCATCAATCATTTGCCAACTTTAAAGCAACACTAGACCAGGTTTTTCATATCCTCTTTATTTACACGTTCATCTTCCGCCACCATCAATCATCTCCCCTTCTACTCCTTTGCCCCCCCCCCCCCTCTCCTATAATATTCTTCTTCCTCTTCTTCTCGGTTATAGTCTCTGCTTTAATTTTCACAAATTTTTTATTTGTCAAATCAACATTTTTTAATATTTATTATTATAAATAAGATCTTTATGACATAACCGGTTAATTTTCGGTACCGAACGAATACTTCTACAAATTCAAGATCCGTTGCTTTTAATTCCCACAAGCTTCCCTTCGGATCTACCATCCTGCTTCGCAATTCATTGTTCTTGCACTTCCAACTTAGGCATCTCCTTTCTTTCTACATATATCTAGCCAAAATTGGAATGTAGGACACTATTGATATCTTTTACTATCAGTTTAAAATTTGCAACAGTTGGAATGTAGGACACTATTGATATCTTGTACTATCAGTTTAAAATTTGCAACAGTTTGACTTTTACGTTTGCCAGCACGCAACTTTAACTGTAATTATATTTAATTACGTATCAGTAAACATTAAAAAAGTTAATAGTTTGGAAATTTACATTAACGGGCCATTTGGTAAGATGTAAAATAATTACTTTGCATGCGAAGTGTAAGGACGTAAAATGTTTACACTGTTTGATTTGATTATTTAATGTAAACTGTAGGACACTATTTTAAAACATTTCGCACTGTACCACATAAAGTATTTTACGTGGGGGGAGGGTGGTAAAATACTTTGCATGTCTTTTATGAAGAGCACTACAACGACTTTGCGTGCAATTTAAAAATAAATTACACATCTAGCCAAACAATGTAATATAGTTTACATGCAAAATGATTGATTCTCTATACTTTGCATACAATCACTTCGCGTGCAAATATTTAATGAACAAACTACAAAACGAGCCATAATAGAAATTTAATAATACTCTATATATAATATTGTAATTATTATATAGATTATTAGAAAAGCGGAGTCAAAATAAAGTGTGTGAATCATGTAAAAATCTTTTTTCAAATTAAAGAACAGAGAAAGAATTTACCTTACATTTGCAAAGATACGTATAAAAACAATTATAATATCTTTTTTCTTATTTCAGATAAGTTTTGTCACTGTTACGCTATTTCAACTTCAAAATCCGGAACAATATCTTGCTTTAATGTTATCACTTGGGATTACATTTATACTCCGTATTTAGAAATCTGGAACACTATAAATATGTTGCTTTAACATATCTTGCATGAAGGGTAAAAATGCCATAATTAATTAGAACACTCTCACCCAAATAACAATTTATTACATTAACCTAGATTTATCTAATTTGTTTCCAAACGACATTTTACATATGCACCTAGTTTAATTAGGTTCATCTAGTTTATTAAGATTTAGGTTTACTTTGTTACACTATGTTTACTTAAGTTCACCCTACCCAAACACAACGTTAAAGTAACATATATGTGGTTACAATTATTTCTCTCTCATATGCACAAATATCAACCACACATTTTTTACTGTATTATTCTACGTGCAAGTCAAGTTTGATATGTAGTTCTCAGCAATGGAAGATAAATTGTAGAATTGCCATATTAGTGAAAGGTCCAAAGGTTTAATTTAGTCCACAATTTTTTAAAGAAATGTCCACACTTAGGATATTTCAATGGATATAAGTGCAGAAATAAAGTGACGATGTAAGGTGATTTGTTATATATTTCTCAATTCTGATGAGACAATTAAATCAACTTTCTTATTTTTGACTCTTTTATTTTTATTTTGAAGAAATAAATCTAAGCATTTTTTGCATCTTGCAACTTCAAATTGGTTTTACTTAGAGAATCCATAAATTCTTTGATTGTACTTACAGCAGTGCTTCAGATTATTTTTTTCCCCTCAAATTCCTTCTACTATTAACAGCAAACCCAATTGTGCGCTCCTATATTGTTTATTACCTAGTATGTGTTACTACGGACTACGGAGTAGTATTTATTTGCACCCTTCTCCCATCTTTGAAAACATGCAAATATGCAATGTGATCAGGGGCGGAGCCAGGACACTGGGCCGGACTGGGCCGGTACAAAGAATATTTTTGGGAAAAAAATTACACTGAATTTTTTACCTTAAAAATTTAGACATTTTTAAAATTTGGGCTGGACCATAGCCAGAGATGGCCACCCCTGTCTACGCCCATGAATGTGATCTCATTTCTAGAGTGTGTTTAGAAGGTGATAGTTGATCACCCAAAAAGATTGGGGGTCACGGTGTAGGATGAAGGGTTTAATATTTGGTCTCATTTAAACGGTTCTCGACTCGGGGAGTGGCGAAGGGTAAAAATCCTAGCCGTCTCCCCTCTCTTCCCCTCTTCCTAACGATGTATAGGGCTTGTATATTCCTCGTCGGTGAGACCGATCGCGCGTTGAAATTTTATTGGTGGTGGACGGCAATGTTTGTCCTACGTGATTCTTTTGGGAAGGTAACGTCAGACATCGACTACTCCAAGACCTGAATTATTCATCCTCCTCTTGAACCACCGTCATGCTATGAGAGAAAGATTGTGCGCGGGTTGATCTTCTTTTGGATGACTTATCAAACAAATGATATTTGCAATTTATTCCCCGTAGTTGGTCATACTGAGGATTCTAGTTGTTTCTTTATTGTTGCTGGACAAATCATATTTTCAATTATTTCCTTATCACCGCATCGTAAAACTGATTTATATGTTTGTTTCTCACATAGTAGTTTTAGTACTTCTCTAGTCCTGATTATTCGTTAAGTAGCAAAACTGCAGAAGCTTATAGGTTGATCGAAGAATGCATCTTTGCAGAGTTACCGAATTGTTATGTTCCTTGGGAACTTTTCAATTCTATGTCCCATCTCATTGTAGCTCCATTGGGCTATCTAAATTGCTTTTGTATTAATCATTTTTTATTATTAATAAATAGGTGTTTTTCTTTCAAAAAAAATATTTGGTCCCATTCTTTTGCATTTGAACATGGGAAGTATTTTAAAAGGGATGAGAGTAAACTTAAAAGCTGAAAAAAGTAGGGACCGGAATATAGATCCCGGTTCTCGGCCTCCCAAATTCTTTTCAAGGCCGGCCAATCCAAGACCAGGACGTGCCCACCCCTACATAGGCCTTTACCAAGAAATGTCGCACAATTTAATGTATTGATCAATGTTTTAACTTTTAAGAGCACTGGCATATTGAGATCACCCTGTGCAAAATAGTACGGAGTAATAGTGGTAATAACAAAACAAGAATAAGAAAGAGGACGAGGGCGATGATGATAATTAACAATTTAACACTTAAAATGCCTCAAATTGCGTAGATACAAACTGTGCAACCATATATTACAATACTGTCCAGCCATGTTGCAGATGTTATACTAGTTTCCAGAGTACTAATTTGAAGGATTTAATAGTCATAACCGCCAAAAAACAGGGGAAGGTGTGTCCAAGAGTGAAATGAGCAGTTGTTAGCAAACTGGAGTTGTCCGAATGAAGAGTCATTCAGTTGGGGCAGCTTTCTTTGGATCGTCAGACAAGGTCACCAAAGATCTAAGAACGCCAGGGCTGATCTTGTCAGCAAGAACTCCTTTTTCTGATAGAGAAAAGGACTTCTCCTTCACATAGCTTTGGAGTTTCTTAGCTTCATAATCTAGTTTATTTTGATCTGCATTAAAAGTTAAAAAGTGTCGATGTTACTCCAACCATTTCATCTTTTATACTTTCTGCAGAAAGATCCTACGGAGAATAACTTAGATTTAACACCAAGCTATCATTAAAAGGTAACAATTCGTACACATCCCTTTTAAATTGTGGAGATATGCAAACACAAAAAAGATCATACCATCAAGAAAGAGACATAAAAAGTATAGTCAAAAGAAGAAACCTTGCTCCAGAATCGTATGGACAGCATGAAATGGAATACTAGCAAACACATCAGTTCCTGGAAACATAAGCCAGTTGCTTTCCTTCACATCATGATTGCCACAAGTTGAACAAATCTCTTTCACCAATGGTCTTGACTCAATACCCCGCATAATCGACTCAAAAGGTAGACCTATGCTGCTTTTTGAAGTCTTGGCTCTCTTCCTTAACGCCGTCGATGCTTCCCTATTTCTGTTTCTTTCCCTGTCATTTTCAACTAACTGCAACTACGTTAGAAAATTTTCACTTCTGTTTCCATTATTATGGGTAGTAAAAAAATCAAGCACCTCTTGTCGTGCCAATAAAATATTCTCTCCTTCAATTTCTAGCTCAATCAACTTTTCTTGGAAGTGAGTCATTGTGGCATCCATGTTATACCACAGAATGAATAGTCTTCTATACAACAAAAAAAACATCAAAATCAATAAGCAAATATTAAATGCTCATGGAAAGCTGATGGAGAGTGAAAACATCCTCCAATGTTTTCTTCAATTGCAATACTGTGAAAACCTTCTATTATATATGACACAAAAGTTATTATGCAACACATACTTAGCAAATTTGGACAATAGAGATAAAAACAATTCTGATTAATATGCTTGCATAAGGGCAATACTGACAAATTATCATCCTCTTAATAATACTAATAAGTTTACCGTCACTTGTCCCATTAATACTAATAAATTTATCAGTTTTTTTACAGGAAAAAGTAGATTAACAAGCTAACATAATGAAGTCAAGTCTAATTCATGACAAGAACATACTAAGGCATATGAATAAAAGGTAAACAAATTTGCTGAACTAAAATTGATGTGGAGAACAATCGGATGGATGGCTATTGGAAAATGGGTATGTGTTGGTCTCAGTGTTGTCTGTGTATTTCTCTTCGGCGGAAGATTTTTTTGGAAGAAGAAGGCAGTTACGGAACTCGCATGGGCAGTATAGGAAAAATAAGGAAATGCCAATGCTAAACGCTGGGATGAGTGGCGTTTAATATTTCAGCTGTTTCGGACAAAAAGCCAATTGAAAATGACAAAAAATTTAGTAAAAAGGCCAAACATGGTCAAATCAGCCAAAAAATGGCTGATAGGCTAGTTACCAAACACCCCCCTATGTGAAAACCAGAAGCATATATTCACATTTACTGTACGTTGACTAAAACAAGAGAAACAACAAAATAGAACAATACACAGGAAACAATCTAAAATAACACTTAAAGAGTAAAATTGTGGTTTTTTCAGCTTTATGAACCCTCACACTCAAAAATCAGATCGCAACCCATAATTTAGATTCATAATTCAGAATCAATTCATACTTGTTTAATTCAACAACAATCTAGGGAGCAATCTAGGGATATTCCAGATTCATAATTCAGAATCAATTCACAACAACCTGAAAGTTGAATGCTAACAAGTCACAATACTCACATTAATTCACAGATCACAATTCCTCGAACTAAAGCTGAATTAGAAAATTCAAAAGTAAATTCCGGGAATCTAGGGAGCAATCTTTCTGAATTCAGAACCACAACAACCCTCAAATTGCAGAAATAAAGGCATAAAGCTGAACTAAAATAAGATATAACAAAAATAAAACTAACAGTAAATTACACACCTGAAATCGGAAGACCAGCGACCCAGCGAACAGGAAGGGGCGGAGTAGGGCACTGCGGTCACGGAAGCGAAATTGCAGGGGATACTAGCCTACTAGGTCGATACCGAGCTTTCCGTCGATGTGGCGAACGCCGACCGGCGTGAGTGGTAGCAGGTCTCACTTGTCTGCTTCGACAGTTTGACTCGCGGTGAGGATGGAAGAACGGAGGTCGTTCATTGCTGATTTACCGCTTCAGGCCTTCTGTTCGCATGGGCCTCTTTTTTTTTTTTTTTAGTTTAGGGCCTCTGGACGAGCCCTTCTCACAAGTAGTAGACTAGCGGGTGTAGTACCAACTTTTTATGGTTTGGGTGTGGGTTGTTTTAGACTTTTAGTGAAATGAAATAATTACATACTTGTAATTATAATAAATGTTGTTTATGAATTCGACTTTTTAATTGTAGTAATTATAGTAATGATTTTATTCATATTAATTTGTGTTTAATTTTACACATAAATAATTACGGAGGAGTATAAAACTATAATATAGTAATAGTCATTAGTCATATTTTTGTAAATAAGTTTCATTTTTGTAACATATTTGAAAAACCCTCCATTTTATCACGTGTATAACATGAACTACTTTTATTTTGAGTTTGAGCCGCGACTACACAAATTTAAAAATATTGTATGATCATTGCATATGGACTACTACGTACATGATATCTAGCATATCAAGTGAATTTATTCACTTTTTCGTATTTCATTAGTGATTTGTTTAGGTGAAATTATTCAGGCTCTACAGAATATAAGAATGGCCTTGAGGTGTGTGAAGATTGGAAAATAACTTTGAAGATTTTTTTTATTACATGGCTTTTTCTTAGGAGAAGATTCACAACAATAACATCCAAATCTTACTTTTGAAAAAAGTTTGATGTCAAACAGTCAAAGTAGCATGAATTGATATATGATGAGAGTTAAAAGAAAAAAGATAGACACTTCATCCCTGAAGATCCCCATCACCGAGGAGGATATAAATTGGACTTTAATCACATGTCGGTAGATATTAAATGACGATCATTGCATTTGCATAATAACATCTCATCGCAGTTGAAAGAAATTGAAATCGAAACTCAACCCTTATGACACCCCTATCGTCCGGCTGAGCTATACCTCCAACGATAACATAGTTAAAAACACTAGAATAAGAAGGATGAAGATAAAAAAAATACTACGTATATTTTGCTGGTGGGGGATTTATATGACATTTGAAGGAAGATATAAAACATAGAAATTAGTTTAGAACAATGTTGATTGTCAAATGAACAAGTTGTTGAGGATTATCTTTTTTATTTTCGTCTTATAGGAAATCATACAATGTACATCATAAAATGCATATATATCTAGGCTTAAATAGTTGGTGTCTTGTACGACAGGTGACCACCACCTTGAAAAAACTTTTCCCAAGATACGGATTTGAATTATACTACGTATGACACAAATTGGATATAGCTCAAAATTGGCATGACATGTTAGTGTGAAATACTCATTCTGTCATTCATACTACGTATGAGATTCTGAGAAAAGAATGAGATGGAAACATCATCAGAAAGGTAAATCTGATTTTCTTGAATGAACAGGAAGGTATCACTTAGTTAGAGATGAATTGCTTATCCACAAGCCAAATAACCACAAGAACGGCCAAAAATACCCATGTTACCAGCGGTTTGGAGAGCAAAAGGTAGCAGATACTTCAAGGTATTTGTCAATCTACTGTGTACAAGTTTTTGAAAATCCCCATCTCAATTCGGCCTGGACTCCATTTTCTTGATAGCTTCTTCAATTTCAGGGACACTCTGCTTGAAGGATGCCCATTGTTCTTTTGTCAAGCTTATTCCTGCAGACAAAAGCACAGTACAAAGACATAGTCAAATGGTTTGTTCACAACTTCACATCAACAGCACAATAAGCATAACCATGGAATTGCTTGCAACCAATTCAACATCATACATACCATGTATCTCTTAATTCTAAATATCCCAGCCCAGTTGTTCTTATAATTCTCCTTGCCTGCCCAGACCCCGTGTAGTGCATTATACCAATATCTCTTAAAACAAAGCAAAACCATGGTTCCCAACCCAACCAGCCTCATAAATGCCAAAAACCTCCACATATGCAGTAGAAGAAGATATGCAAACGGGAATTACTATGTTTGCACCTCATAACCAGTAAAAACTAGGGCAGTAGATGTTCAATACATTGAAAATAACGCCTAAACAGATGAGTTTAACACGATGTTTTGACTTCAATTGATAGGAATGTTCAGGAAATTGACATGATCATCAGCAATTTAATCAATACTCCGTATTAGAAGACAATGAAACAACGATTTGGAGTATGTTACCTTTAGTGGAAGGGAGCTCTTTGCCATCTTTCGTATAGTATTCTCTTATTGACAGCAGAAGCGTCCCTTTGTATTCAGTGAGCGTCACTTTTCTCTTATCCGACAACTACACAAAGTTTAGCGAATTGTCGATTAGAAATCTGCTCTGATCTGAACTTCATAGATTACATTCAATTCTCATAAGATACATACATTACGTTCAGAAAACGATGTCTAAGGTATATAGCATCGCATTCGCCAAATAACTAATCATGAAAAATAACAGATAAAACAAACAAAGAAAACCGAGGCTAGGTATAACTCACTCGGCAGAGAACAAGGTCACCGCAGTCATCATACTCTTTTGCTTTCTCCGCGACGGCTATCTCTTTAGCTTTTGGTTCCAGGAGGTACGTTTCCACGACGGAGCGAACAAGCTGCATCCGAACCGGGTCGGAGAGGTCAATTCCGAGCTTTTCAGAAGCGGACTTTCGGACCGTGTACTCCGTGGCCGTAGCCATGTCAGCGGACTTGAGAACTTCCAACACTGCTTCTGCGATTTTGGTTTCGATGTCGTCCATAGACTCTGAAGCCATTTTCGTTCGAAATCCACGTTTGTGCTCTGAGAAGTTGGAGAGAGGACAGTTGTAGAAGCTACCTGATTCAGGTAAGTGGAAGGTGGCGAAGAGTTGTGAGAAAATGGGGAAGGAAAAATAGACGAGACGGGTTTGAGTAGTCGCTCTTCTTACTCGACCTCCCGCTCATTTTTAAATCTTCCAATTCGGGGTTAATGTGAATGTGTTTTGAGGGTTATTTTCTAGTGCCACTTTCTCTTTTAATTGTAACATTGAATTTTTCATACTATTCATGTATTTTATTTTGATTATGTTTTATTAATTAATGTATTATAGATTAAATTTTTAAAAAATATTGTTAAATTCTTTTCATTCTAAAATTTTAAAATACGAAGTATGAATTTTTAAATTTTTTTACCAATAAGGAATAAGGAATGAAAAATATTAATGGTCAAACTTGTGCGTTGTCAAATGTGAAATGTTGACCGTTGCAATTAAAAAGGAACGGAGGAAGAATTTTTTATTTTTTATTTTTTATAATTTTGACACTTTTTAATATATGAGGTGAATTGAACAATTCGGTTGGGTTCAGACGCTTATTTAACCACTTAAGTTGACACCTCAAAATTGACACATGACCGGATGATGTGACGCTAACAGAAAGGTTACCTGTAATTTATTAAATTTGAAACTTTTTATCCAGTTCAGAATGCTACTTGGAACTTTGTTTTGTTCAAGGGGCGAATTGACAATTTTTGACATGTACAAGGGCATATTTGGCCCCCTTAGCCTAAAAATTTTGACCATGCTGCTGAGAAACATTTCCTATTCGGGGTTTGTTTGGGGTTGCTCTTACTTTTTAAAAGTTATTTTAAATGTTTTAGCTAAAGGGTCAAATAGGTCCATGTACCGGTCGTGTAAGTTCGATTCAGTTCCTGACCTAAAAAAGGTCCAATTCGCACCCCGAACCGGAAAAAAGGGTTCAAAGTTCATTTTTTACAGGTCAACCGGTAAAAAAGGTCAAATTCGCACACTTAAACTATTAAAAAGTGTCAAAATTGAAATAAATCGAAAAAAAAAAAGAAACAGTTAAAAAAATACCGGTTGTTTACCCGTAAAAATTGAAATTTGAACCATTTTTGTCGGTTCGGGGTGCGAATTGAACCTTTTTTAATTCAATGACTGAATTGAGCTTACACGACCGGTATAGTCGCCTATGTGACCCTTTAGCCAAATGTTTTTGAAGAAAGTGTTTCATAGTAAAAGATAGTCATTTTTCAGAAAAAATGTTTCGAAAAAATAAAAATTAGTAATGTTTAATAAAATAATTGATATTTTTATAATAGAAAAAGTGAAAAGAAGTCAAAATCTTATTTCACATGAATGCACTCATTTTAATTTTTTGAGTCAAAAACTTGAAAAGCATTTTTTTAATTTTTTTAATTTTTTTTAACACTCCCTAAATTTTGCTAAAGTCCCAAAATAGTGTCACTTTCATTTAAGCAACACCACTTTTCTCTAATATACTCCGTAATGTTATAAAATGAAGAAGATGGAGACTAAATTTATGAGATAGATATAAAGATAAAAGTCAGGATATTATTCTTCTTTTTAATATGTGAGAAATTCTGAATTTTTGAGTTTCTAAATGAATTTACAAGGCTTCATCAACCTCCTATTTATAGTGTTTGAGCTTTGATGATTAGTCACCTAAATGATGAGTCTACAAATTTGGTGGCAATAACAAATTGAGCCAACTGTTCTAACTAGATTACAAGGATCATTACAAGGATGATGAATAGCTTGGTGTCCTAATGACAAGGGTGAACAATTCACACTTGTCAATTCCTATATTTTACAACACCCCCCCTTGGATGTTCATCCTTGAGTAGGTATTTGTTAATTTAAAAACTTATTGTGAAAATGAGTGTGAAATTAAAGGGGTAAAAATTACGACTTATAATGTCCTTGTATTTGGATGTACTGTCTCGTTAATAAACTTATCAGGAAAAACCCAGTGTGATAAAAACTTGATGAAGGGAAAAAGAGTGCAGTGCATTCAAATACTCCCCCTGAATTTAGCATAAATTATGAAGGCGGGACATGCCGATTTTCTGTACAAGTTCTATGAATTTCTTCGGGGGAAATGACTTGGTGAAGAGATCAGCCGGATTTTCACTGGATCTGATTTGTTGAATGTTGATCGTCCCTTCTTTCTCTAGGTCATGAGTAGAGAAAAATTTTGGTGATACATGTTTTGTTCTGTCTCCTTTGATGTAGCCCTCTGTAGTCTGAGCTATGCACGCAGTGTTGTCTTCATAGATCACAGTAGGCTGACAAGTAAGAGGTTTCATACCG